CATAGAATTCCATCATTTTAACATCCTAATTCCAACCCCCCCCCCAGTATTATGTTATCTTTAAGGATAGCCATTATCTCTAAAGTGGACTGTGATGGTGCCATTGGGTTCCAAATTCTGTCCCATATTTCAATGAATCAGCTTCAGAGAAAAAAAGAGAGATAGTAAGTAGAAAAACAAACAGGATAAAGAGACAGAGATGGAAGACACTGTTGCTTCCTAGCATGATAGAACCTTAGTGGTAGCAATCTTATAACCTACCTTACCCTAGAAGCTATCTGTCAAGCTACTGACTGAAAGACAATATAGCCTGCCTCCTAATTGCAATCCTAGGATTCTTTTCACTTTGCTCTAGAAAAAAAATGTCATCCATCATACCTCTTGATGAGGAAAAACATGTGAATATAGGTCAAACATATATTTTGCTTTAGTTATAATAGCAACCAAGAATCAAATTTGAAATAGATACATTTATTACCATAGTTGAATACATGTATCCTATATTTCAGAATAATACATGCCCTATGTTATATTTGGAATTATTCAATAGATTTACCAACCATAATTCAAACTGATATAGGCCTTTGAGTAAATCAACACATTTATGGATTATTTAAAAAAATCAAACAAGACTTTGTGAAAGACCCATCTTCTTCTGTAGGAATTAATACTGTTCTATTTAGAGTGACCAAAAAGAATGCTGGAATTTGATTCACAGCCATAATTTATAAGATAATGTATTTTTATTACTCAATCATCTGTGATGGTTATTCCTTTTGTTTGCCTACTTAATGGATATGAAGTATGAGTGCTGGGTTCTGGCCAATAAGCCCTTTTTATAGTTTACAGCTTTACTAGTATTTTCTTAAGTACACTAAAAAAGAGAAAGAAGGGGGGGGGAGCTTATGTGAGTGATCACTCAACTGTGGCTGCAAGTTCTCTATGCTCACTGTCTCAATTCCCAGAAAGGGGACTAGAATGGAATTGTACTGCCTCTCTCACTCGTGTGCGCTCTCTCTCTCTCTCTTTCTTTCTCTGATATATCAAACTCAAAAGAAACAGGGTCCTAAGGAAACATATTTCTTATGCATTCTGTGCCCCCTTGTAGTTTTTCAGTGGCTTCATAGTGGTGATATGAGACTCTACTTGTATAGACTTAACTGGAATAAGTAATAATTTATCTTAGTTTTATATCCTCTTTTATTCTTTTTATTTCCCTTTAATATGTTTTGGAGGCTATAAAACTTGAGGATGAGTAGCTAGAGGTTAGAGCCAAGTGAACTGCCCATGGCTGCTTAATAAACCTCCATGCCCTGTCAATGCACTCCTGGCCTGAGATGCTGCCTCCCACACTCATTCTCCTCTGGTCTACCAGAAACATAGCATTTGGTGAGTATGTTCTGAAATTCTCATTCTCAGAGACGTTTCAGAACACCAAAACTAGCCCATCCTGGCAATGAGCATTTCCATGGGTACACTTATACAGTAACTTTAAATAAATTATTTAAAATTTATTTTAAATCCCATGGACAAAGTTGGACATTTGCCATTAGTAGAACTCACCGAGCCATCAAATGAGATTGCAGCTTTTTTTTTTTTTTTTCCCTGAGTGAGCAGGCCGTGGGCCAGGGGGTGGGGGTGACTTGGTATCCAGAAACAGTAAAAACAGTTCTTAATAGTATCTACATTACTGAAGAGAATAACTGAAACTTTCAGTTCCCCCTACTTAATTTGTATTATTTTTAACTTACTTTTGCTTGAGTTTCTTAACAGAAAAATTCAGCTCTTATAAAAAAAAATTAAGACTACCTAGCATTGAGTCAACTATTTTTTTTTCTTAACAACATAGCTTGTTAGCTATTTTATTTTGGTAGCGTCTCACCAAAGGAAATTGCATAAAAAATATACTGCTTCTTAATGCCTACCATGCTGATTTGTATCAGCAATACATGTGTTCTTTAGATGTTCTTCATGGCTGGAGAAGAGGATTGCATGGCAGCCGGGGACAAGGTGCCATATGGTTGAGATAAGGTGAATGTTGATAAAGGCACGTGAGAGATGGGAGGGGAGATGTCATAGCTTGTCAGTCTTTATCCCTAGAGGAAGCTCTGCTGACAGGGGAATGATTGAAATGGCACATTTGGGGTCCCTGGGCATGGAGAAGGGATAAATAATGACTAACAATTCAATGACATAAACTCAAGGGAAAGATGGAAACAAAGGGAGCTGGGGACTGGGTAGAAGCGGAGCTTTCCTACAGTTGGTGAAAGATGCCAGGAAGAGACATTGATGAGAGAGATGATTAAAGGTGGCCTCACAAAGCCTTGAATAGTGACAGATGGGAAAGGTACAGTGATTAGTAAGAAAATACAGAGAGAAAAGAGACCTGAAGTGAAGTACATTTTTGCTGAAGTAGACATGTGGGATGACAAAAAAGAATGAATTTTCTCTGTAACCTGAGAAAGGAAATAGGGAGAGATTTTGAGCTGATCAAATCCTATCCTTGCATGGCAGAAGCACCCTTGTCCCCAACTCACTTGACCTATCAGATTTAGCCCAAATCCTTCCCAAAACCTTTCCAATAGGGATCCTAGATTTCCAGCCAGATATCATGAAACTGGTCCAGCAGAAGCAGACTTTCTGCTTTCCGGATCTGAAGACAGATAAATAACAATAAACGTTCACTGAGTGTGTATCATATGCCAAGTACTGTGAGCAGCCCTTAAATCCAGTTTACATCATCAATGAATTGGATCAGTTTTCAAATGTGGAGAGTAGGGCTCAGAGAAGCCAAATAGCTTGGGGTTCCAACCCCATCTATTTAATTGCAATTTTCTAGTTGAATCCACTTGTTTACAAAAAGGTTGGACTAACCACCTTCTCAAGCTGCTTGAGGTCTGCTCCATTTTGGGTAAACCCTTTTAAAAGGCACTTTCTTAAATAAAGTGAAAATAAAGAATATAATTGGTTCACACATGTATAGGTTGGCCAGTTTCATTTACCAGATATTATTTTCCTCTCATTCTGTCTTTTGAAAAAACTTTAAACTCTGAGAGATATAGTAATCTCTGCTGACATGATAATATCTTCTAGAATTTTTTTTTTTCATCTTATATCTTTGTATGGCCATAGGTAATCCTTCTTACCATGCAACCTTGTCCTGGCAATTCTCTTTGATATATGGTTTGGGGATAAGAATCACACTTCAAATAACAGATTCCTAGGTTCTTTTATGGGTGAGTTAGTCAGCTCAAACTTCTCAGGCTTCTGCTCTGCTTCTTAATGAAAGCATTATTTTTCTTAGAAATTATTCCTATATGAACACATCTTCTACATTTTTTGGCACATAGTTGGACTTTAGGAACCTGTTCCCCTCTCATTTGGTCTGAAATGAAGTAGTCTATCATAAATCTACATTCCTTTGGAACCTGCCTCAGAGTTCAGCTTTTTAATCTACTTTGTCATTTATTAGCAGAGCAATAGTGATTAGCATGACCAGCTTGTAGTAATAGCTCAGTCCCCTCCCAGTACATGATCTCAGATACCTATTTTTGAGGGTTCTGAGAGGGAATTTTTTAGTCAGAGTCTTAACATTATAAATTTCACAATTTTCCAATGCCTTTCATTTAGCTAACACTATAAGAATTTATTGGATGCCTAAGATGTCACTAAACATATGCTACTAGATTTGGGGATTAGATTGGTGAACAGTGTAGACTTTGCTTCTACTCTTACGGAGAATACAATTTGGTATAGGATAACAAAAAATACTAGACCATTAGAGTTCAGTATATGAAGTTTCCAGAGGGGACTTCTCCTATTCTTGTGAAAGTCCAGAATGAGGGGCTCCTAAGTCAGGGCGGGAATCAGTGAAGTGACACCTGAGCAGAAGGCTGAAGGAGAAGCCCAGGTCAGGGTCGCAGAGCAGTTGGGGGAAGATATTCCCTCCAGGTTGCTGCACACAAAAGTAGCAGAGGTGAAAGCATGAGATCTTCATGGAACCAATTAAGATCAATGACCCCAGAGACCTTCCTCTGTGCCCTTCTCAGGTTTACAGCTGCCCACGACAACTGAGAACATAGAACTGGGATGGAAGAAGCAATGTGAGAGGTGGGAAGAGATAGGTCCTTGTCAGTGAAGATGGGGGGGGAGAATCACCAATGGCTGAGCTGGCTTCCGGCTCTGACCTTGAGACATGGATTTAAAAATGCCTTCATGCAGGGCACCTGGGTGGCTCAGTGGGTTAAAACCTCTACCTTCAGCTCCAGCTATGATCTCAGGATCCCGGGATTGAGGCCTGCATCAGGCTCTCTGCTCAGCAAGGAGCCTGCTTCCGCTTTCTCTCTACCTGCCTCTCTGTCTACTCATGATCCCTCTCTCTCTGTCAAATAAATAGATAAAAATATTTTTAAAAATTGGGGGCCTGGTGGCTCAGTGGGTTAAGCCTCTGCCTTCAGCTCAGGTTGTGATCTCAAGATCCTGGGATCAAGCCCCACATCGGACTCTGCTCAGGGCGGAGCCTGCTTCCCCCTCTCTCTTTGCCTGCTTCCCTGCCTACTTATGATCTCTGCCAAATAAATAAATAAATAAAATCTTTAAAAAAATATTTAAAAAAAATTAATAAAAAGGCCTTCATGCAGTTCCTTACACATAGTAATCCCTCCATTAATATTGAATGGACTAATGATTGGATACATGAATTGATTTACCAAAGAAAATGCAAAAATATATGATCCGATTCCACAGCACTGCAACTATGCTAGTCTGTAAAATGATAAATTAAATAGGTTTCTGGGAACAGATTAGAAATGGTTTAGGGAGAAAGCATGTTGTGATTTCTAAAACAATCACCCTACTGAAAATTTAGGAGGGAATTAGTTTATAAATAAGAGACTATCTCAGACTTAGTAATTGTCTTACATGTATATACCTATGTTTTAAAAAACAGTTTCCTATTCTCTTAGGGAAAAATCCAGAGTTTAAAAATAATTTTTTTATGGAGGGGGTGCATTATTCCTGGAAATACTGCAATACCAGGTCCATGTGTGGAGTAGAACAGAGCAAGCTCCTCTTCCATCTCCCCGATCCAAAAATCCATTGAATATATTGCCCTCAGTTAGAGGACGTATCAGATATTAAACTGATAAGAACGGATACTATACTTGATCTTCGCTAAAATGCACAGAAGCAATTAAAAATAATTCTTCACATCAAGCATAACAGTAGGAACTTGATAGACATTCAATAAATATTGATTATTCCATTTTAGAGACTAACCCAATAAATTCTTTTATGTAAAGATTAAGATTTAATGAAATATTATGGAGATCATTAACTTCTATCTCATATTAATTTAAAATTGAAAAGTCATTTCAAATCATTATTTTTTTTAAATTCACATTTCTTTGTTTTACTAAAGTTCTCAATATACTGGCTAGAAAGCCATGATTCTTTGAATATTGAAAATAATATGAAACCTTAGAAAAAATTGTCGTTCTCTGTAATTTCAACCTTATACTGCTGAGCATCTTTTTGGCAAGTTTGCAAAATTACTTTGTGAAATATAAAAACTTTAAAGCAAAATGTAAATTTTATCTGCTTCTTCATTTGGACAATTAAAAGCTAGAGTTTGAGGTCAAGGGAACAATGATAAGAAAAAAATACGAAAGGAAAAGAAATAATATTTGCCCCGAGAACAATTAAATGTTCCTTTAATTTCCTTAATGTTACCCATTTATATTTTACTCGATACTTCAGGCTAATAAGGAGATGATGTGAATAAAACATCTAGTTGATCTTGTGGCTACATTCAAGGTTTTTTCATTAATGATATGGGAAATGACAAGAAAGTAAGCCTGTTGCTTGTTTGATATTAATGAAAATTAAATGTTTTTGTGAATACATCTAATCATAATTCATGTGTCTCATAGGGATTAGAGGTCAGGCAGTTAATAAGGTTAAGGAAAAATTAATATCTGTAAACATTATATAGTAAAATTCTAAGAGAAACAAACTTTCTGGTATCTAGGCAGACATGGCTTTATAGAAAAATTAACCCAATAATGTAATTGTTACCAAGGCTATTGCGCTGTCATCATAAAATACTAGTAATAATACTAGTAGTAGTAGTAGTGACTAGGAACTTAGAAACCAAAGTTTCAAAACTATTCTTTGAATCTCTGTTATTTCAGAAATCATTTCCTTTTTCTGGATTTTATTATGATAATTTTCTTTGATAAAGAGATTCTTCTAAATAAATTTTTTAAAAAAGACTATGTTATAGTATGGTAAATTCGCCTCCTCTTCTCCATGACAACAGATAAAGAAGCCATAACCATGGCAACAGTAATGGGCCAGGGAGATTAGGGCCAGACTGGAGATTAGGCCTCCACGAGCAAAGAAAAAAAGTCCTGATTAGTTCCTTATTGAGACCTTCTGTGGAGACTAGTAACTGTAGAGAGAAAGCATGGAGGATTAGTAAGAACAAAATTAATTCCCTGTATAAAGAAAGAAGCCATCCCTTTGTTAAAAATGTGTCCGTTCCTTTTCATAGGAGGACTGTTTAAATTGAGGTAAAAGGGTCTATGATTAATTCTATTCTGAACTTTATCTGTGTCATCTGCGTCTAGACTGGCTCTGTGAGAAGGCACTTCTGGAAGCCTGAGGAGAAAAGCATCCTTGCGCAGATTCCCATTGCTCTCCCTCTTGGCAGTCCCTGAATAGGTGGGGAAACCACCTCATTTTTGATGTGATACCATCTCTAAGTGAGGTGCATTTGGGGAAAAAGGGATTGAAATTTTTTTTCTCCTGTTCTTTTAAAACTAATTTGTCTAACTTCTTGAGAACTCTCAAAAGATTTATACAGGTCATCCTGGATCATGTTTTGTTTTTTAGAAAATCTTTTGTTTAAAAAAAAAATCTAGTAATAATCCCATTTGCTTTAAACTGACAAGATGTATAGGGATTACATTTTGAGAAAATGAGCTATGATTTTGCCAGGATGCATAGATAACGAGGTTACTTGTGTTTTAGATGATAAATTTATAAACCTGAGAATGGTCAGATAGCATGAATATTATTCATATTAAAGGATTTTGTGAAATTAACCTCTAAAAAGACTGTACTTTTTCAAACTTCAGCTGACAGTGTAAGAAAGTGTCACATCCTGGCCAACCCTAGATACTAACATTCTTTAAAAGTCTTGCTACTCTGACAGACTTTTTTTTTTAATACATTTTATTCTGACAGACTTCTTAGATTTTATTTTAATGCACTTTTTTTTTTTTTTACTGTCAGGTTGAACCCTAATTTAAAATAAGATTCTTTATTTTTTATTCATTTTGGATTTGTTTTTAAATATTATAGATCTTAACTATCATCTGTTAGCTATTTTACAAATACTTTAGGTCATTCTTTCCAGAGGAAATAACACTAGACTAAGTGAAAGCGGACAGCAGGAGTTAGGTGGACGAGATGGGTCTGTTAGCATGGGAGCTGCTGTGGGAAGGCTTCAGGGAATCACCAGTGGATCTACATGGGGAGAGCCTGCTTAGTGCAAGCAGCAAAAAGCCAGGGAGACTCCAGATCCTCTTGTCATTCATAGGTGTGATGATTAGGTATTCATGCTGTTACGTGGCATGTTCCTCCCTCAAACCTTATTATGAACTCAGCACATCCCCCCATCTGTGGGGCAGTGATGGGGGATGGTGAGGAGAAAATCCAAGAAGCCTGCGTGTGAGCTTCAGGAGGAATGCCGTCATCTATTTTTTGCCATTGACTTCTCTGTACCTAGAATGGCTGGCATTAGATAAGCACTCTATGAATATTTTTTGGATGAGTGGAGGTAATGGATGCTGCTTATTGTGGAAACTTTGCAAGCCTCTCCCCAAAGTGGTATTTTTTCTGGCAACAGGAACACACTAGGCTGTTATGCAGGATGGCCCTTGGAATCACCCTCAATTGGTGGTGGAGGAGTAGTGGATAAATACCTTAGTGTGCTTCTTTCAAGACAGTTAACCGAGAGGCCGGTGCCACACTGGCCCGCAGAGCCCCACGTGGAGCTGCCATCCAGTTTCCCACAGTGCAACTGCCAGATAAATCACGTTTTCTAGCTTTCACTCCCTGCCGTCTCACTTCCCGACTTGCTTGGATCACCTTCCAAATCAACTCTTTGTGCTTCAATCTGTGTCTTAAGCCTCTTTGTGGAAGAAGCTGAACTATGAAAAGGGATAAACAGGAGCCAGGCGTGTAGACCCATTTCAAAGTTTGGAGATTCCCTGAGGTAAAGAATAGACACTGAGGAAAAATAAATAGTAGATTAATATGACCAGATGTGTCTTTTTATAAGCTTATTCAGAATGCTGTCTGTACACAGAGTACATTTGAGGGAGATGAGTGGAAGGAAAGCAGAGGAGCTGGAAAAAGCAGAGATAACTGTGGCAAACAGAATGATGGTGTAGTGGTAGAGCTAACATGGGGTAGGTTTACCAGATGTCCGGGGTTGGGGGACTCTTAGAAAGGCTGAGTGAGAGAGAGAGTCAGGGGTAAGAGATACCTTTTGCATTTCTGGGCTACACAGTTGTGAGGAAAGTGTAGATACAACTGAACTGAGCAACCCAGGTGGAGAAGTAGGCTGAGTGGACAGTGAAGGGGGTGGGGAGTATAAATTCACATAAGTGTACTAGTTTGAGATGTCCATGGTGTGTGGAAGTGCAGGTTTTTGTCAGGAGGCTCAATATCACCCACATTTTTGAGACAGATGCTACATATCCAGGCATCAGTCTTCTCCCTCTCCTCACCACTGTGCCACATAAGATTGACTAACTTGCTGCCAGTCTGCCATTTGTTTCAAATACTGGGTTGACCAAAAAAGCAAGGGGAAATTTTACCTATAAAGAAGCAGGCTAAGAAGATATGGAGCCAGAAACAACTGTGGAAGATTTCTGCAGTTCGTTAAAACTTCTTTCTCTCTATATAGGGTATGTATTGTCAATTGATGTTTCTGGAACCATTAGGAAGTAATACAGCCCCCCTGACCCCAGTGGATTTTCCTGCTAACAGGAGTGTAGTGCACAGTAGGAATAGCGACTCAGCCAACCCCTGGAGAAAGTGAATACAAGGACAAAGACTCATTTTGGTAAGAACTAGAGAAAATGTCCCACAAAAGCCAGTTTGAAGATTAAATGTAGACAAATGAGTCCTTGTGATTTGGGGCTAGAAATCACCTGTCAAAATGAAACATATGTTTCCTACCCTTGGGAATCTGAAAAAATAAGAAGATGAATTATGAATATACACATTTAATAGAAAATTCCATTATAGATTGTAAATGCCCCAAATATTTTTTTAAAAAAATGAGTTCTTCAATTGTGGATGATTTATTCCTGTGAATAACAATTCTTAAATTTTGCCATACATGCAAAGATACTCTACAAAGTATAGAACATTTGTGTATCTTTATGTCTGGTAGAATTTTTTTTCTGTCAGTTCCTTTCTAGCAGGTCGTCTGTTAGAACTCTTTCTGCTCTTGGTTAGCTTCTATCAACTTTAGTTTCCTCTTCCTTTAAATTGTATCTAAAACAGGGTAAACAGGCTCAGAGTGGAATAAGGCTTTACAGTAACTGCTTGGTTACCTGAGGCATTTATCCATGGCTATGTTTCTCTGTGTCATGCCTAAACAGAACATTTTAATTGTTACAGATCCCACGAGTAATGGAAATTGGACAAGTATGCAAGAGAGTCATATATGTTATTAATTAGCCATTTTCATAAGGTCCAAGAAATCCTAATATATCTTTGATTCCATTCACCATTTGCTTTCCCTTGTTTTTCTTCCTTCCTTTAGAATGGACCATTCTATGTTTGCTAATAGATTGGTTTTGCCTTCCTGCACATTTCCCATCTATGGCACCAACACCTCTCTCACAGCCTCTTCTTCCTCTTCCCTAGCTATCCCAAGCTCCAGTGTCCTTCCTTCTGCTCCCAGAGATGTGGTCCCCGTGTTGGTTTCCAGTCGGTTTGTCCGTCTGAGCTGGCGTCCACCTGCAGAAGCAAAAGGGAACATTCAAACCTTCACGGTCTTTTTCTCCAGAGAAGGTGACAACAGGTAAGTGCCACCAGTACATAATCTGCCATCTCTTTAGATGTCTACTGTGGCATAAAGGCACCTGCAAGGGGATCTTGAGCAGGGGTG